TAGAAATCATGTCCTGATTTTTCAGCTCACACTCTAGCTTTTGTCAGCTCCCACTCTAGTTTTGAACATTCCACCATTCATTCCTATGGGACCAATTTCACCACAAAAACGCCGATATTTCGTGAACCATTCAGTGAAACGTTCCACAAAGTAATAGCACACCAATTGGGAACAATCCGCACGTTTCCGTATATTACTGTCTATGTAGTGTAAAAACTGTGGGAGGAGTTTGGGTGGTAAATTTGGCTATAATAATAAGAATATATATGTGAGATAACAGTAAGTGGTCTCGCCATGCAAGAACACTTAAATAAACTATGCAACTAAAGAGAATAAGTATACCAGGCAATTGTATAATGTTACAGAATTTGCTTATTTGAAATTTTTGATTCAAGGTTACTACTGGACATGGTTATTACTTATATTTGTTATCCTGCCCCAACTAAACATATGATTACAAAGATGGTACTACACCTTATTACTACTTAAAGCTATTTACAGAGTTCATCTTAAAGTGGTTCTAAAGCCTAAATGTTTTTTTCACCTCAATGCATTCTATGCATTAACCCCTTCACGCTGGCGCCTCCCGGCCCTTTAAGGGTTCCAGAAGCCGGGAGGCGGGTTTTAGGGTCATGTGACCGCCGTGACACGCTGTCACATGATCGGGAAAGGTTCCGATCGAAAGAGGAGATCGGGACCTTTCCGTGAGTACCAGACATGTGTGGTGGAAGTGCGCAGGGTGCGCGCTCTCAGCACATATGTTCTTTTTTAATAGAACGCAAATGTGCGGCCGCTCGGTGTCTAGGCCAGCATGAAGAGGTTAAGGTAAAAACCTTCTGTGTAATACAGTCTCCCCTTCCCCCGCCCTCCATTATACTTACCTGAGCCCATTCCTAATCCAGCGAAATGCTTGAGAGACGAGGCTCTCCCGGCTCTCTCCCTCTTCACTTGGTAGACTGATAGCAGCAGAAGCCATTGGCTCCCACTGCTGTCAATCCAATGCAGTAATGAGGGAGCAGAGGGTGGGCCAAGCCTCCCAGCCCGTGTCAATAGACGCAGACAGGGGACTCGGGAGTGAGCCCGCATGAGTGCCTCCATAGGAAGCCGCTTCCTATGGGTGGCACTCAACGAAGAGAAGGAGCCAAGAGCACTGGCGGGGGACTCCAGGAGAAGAGGACTGGGGCTGTTCTGTGCAAAACCATGACACAACATGTTTATTATTTTATTAGAAAAAGAAAGGAACCTTTAATATCACTTTAAAACTGACATAGCTAAATAAAACCCCTGGGTATGTTGATACTCCCCAGCATTCTGAATACATGAATAAAATAAGCTGTTTTATTTCTCCACAGATCCAACTAATTAGGCATATTAAATAGCTATCAGTAATCTAGAATGGATTTAAGTGAGGTAAGTTTTTATTTTTAATAAATAATCAGTGTATCTGTTGATCAAAGCTCACACAAGAGCAGATCATATAGTTTTTTTAATGATCAGACCCATTTATTTATTTATTTATTACAGGTACTTAAATAGCGCTTTCAATTTACACAGCACTTTACATATACATATATATATTGTACATTGACATCAGTCCCTAACCCTCATGGGGTGTACAATCTAAGGTCCCTAATGCACATTCATACATACACATATTAGGGCCAGTTTAGACAGGATCCAATTAACCTACCAGCATGTCTTTGGAGTGTGGGAGGAAACCAGAGTAACTGGAGGAAACCAATGCAAGCACAGGGAGAACATGCAAACTCCAGGCAGGTGGTGGAATGGTTGGGATTCAAACCAATGACCCTAGTACTGCCAGGTGGAAGTGCTCATGATATATTCTTACTGTGTTCCACATTTCCACCTGCTACTGTACGATAGGCCTCTCAGAAAAGCTCCCCTCTACCCAGTTATATTGGCACACAATCCTTTGGGAACATTTGGGAACCAGTTTCCAAACCTGACAATTGTTTTCTTTTTTGTCAATAGCTGTTGTTCTTTCTACCACATCTAAGGTGAGACTGTCAGTTTCTCCAAAGTAATTCTTAACAAGAACTGACTCTGGAGTCCTTCTACAATTCCACCTGGACTAGATAAACCTAATATAAGTCCCTTATTTAACCATCGGTGCTGGTATAAACCAATTGTGATTTCTTTTACTCTCAGAGCCTGTTCACACTTGGTGAACTCTTGTATTTTGCTGAATTTTCTAGCACAGTCAATATGTACTTAGATCAAATGAGATTTACATTTTTATGGACTTTCACATTAGACTCAAAGGGGATTATTTACTAAAGCTGGAGAGTGCAAAATCAGGCTCATTTATACCTAGAAACCAATCAGCTTCTAACTTCAGCTTGTTTAAATAAGTTTTGGCAATAAAACCTGGAGGCTGATTGGTTGCTATGCAGAAGTGAGCCTGATTTTGCACTCTTCAGCTTTAGTAAACAAACCCCAAAGTATTTTTTTTTATAAAAACATACAATGTTTATTACTACAAAATGTAATGCTTTTACATATGTAGAGGGTGTCATCATTACTTTTACCTTAGTTCCAGATATCCTTTTTTTTAACCAACATACACAACAATCTTAATATGATAGCAGCTTTGCATAATACTCTGGTAGAGGGTGCCATCATCCCTTCAAACTTGACTGGACATGGTTTGTGAAATGACACTTCTTCGGGAGCAAAAGGTGCTGAATCAGTTCTGTACTAGAATAAACAATAAGGGTCACTATTTCATATTCCAGTACAAAAACAATTATACACAGTAACAAATATAATTAGATTTACTCAAAAACACTGAATAGTGTACTCAAAAGATGCAAAACACTGGCGGCATAGATCTCCAGCAGTGTTCTACATCTTTTCAGAGATGAGTTACCACAACGCCACCTAGTGATTCCTTAGAAGTTGTTAACCACTTGCCCTCCAGAGGATTTACCCCCCTTCCTGACCAGGCCATATTTTGCAATACAGCACTGCGTTACTTTAACTGATGCGGTCATGCAACTCTACACCCATATTACATTTATGTCCTTTTTTCCCACAAATAGAGTATTCTTTCAGTGGTATTTGATCGCCTCTGCATTTTTTATTTTTTTGCGCTATAAACACAAAAAGACCGACAATTTTGGAAAAAATTTTTTTTGACATTTTGCTATAAAACGTATCCAGTAAAGAAATTAAAAAAAATCAAATTTCGTCATAAATTTACGCCAAAATGTATTCTGCTACATGTCTTTGCAACAAAAAAACAATCCCAATACATGAAAATAAATTGGTTTACATGAAAGTTATAGCATTTACAAATGGCGGTATATATACTGGAATGTTTCTTTTCTTTTTTTATACTAGTAATGGTGGCGATCAGCTACTAAGAGCAGGACTGCGGCGGGCATTCTGACAGTGTATTACAGAGCAATACAAAGCAACCTGTTGGTGCTGACAGGGGAGAGATCTGTGTTGTTTACACACAGACCTCTCCCCTTTCACTGTTCTTCTGTGATCGCTTGGTGCCGGCAGGGAACCTCCGGCCAGGACCCAGTGATTGACAGCTGTAGCCGCCAATGACGGCACAGGTAAAGCAGCGCGCACGCGTGCCCCCTACCTGGAAATGCAAAATCACGTACTGTATATATATGTGATTTTGTGCAGCCCTGCTGCCCTGTAGCAGTAGTTCTCCTATAGGGCAGTAAGGACTTATTGTACAGTCAGTATGTAGATACCTACGAATAACTATTGTTTCCAATGAGGAATGTTCACACCAAAATCACCCACTGAGATTGAGAAAACTCTTGTCTACTACTACATTTTTAGTACACCAGGCTGCATTTTCTATATGAACCATGTCCTTCACAATGGAATAAAAGTGAATGTAAAATAATCATGCAACCTTAATTTTCCTAAATAAACCTATCCCTGATCTTTGAGTGTCAGTAGCAGTAAACCTAATTATGAAGGCTTGCAATGAGTATAGGGTGCTTTAGGGTTTATGTACAAGATTGCTGAGACAATGCATCAGCCGCAGGGGCGGACTGACAACTCATGGGGCCCCCGGGCAATAGGGGAGCACGGGGCCCCTGTGTCCTTGCCCAAACTCAAAAAAGCCTATGAAAAAGGTACCAGGGGCATCTCATGGGGCCCCCTACTGATCCCGGGCCCTCGGGCAGTGCCTGAGTTTCCAAATGGTCAGTCCAGCCCATTCACTTTCCAGTGGCATTTACAGTGTAGCACAATGCTCTCTATAATAAATATTGTACTGCATTCACTATGGAACTGAACACCCTAATTTTCTACAAGAAAAAGTAAATATTCTGGATCTTCTTTTGTAGGATGACTTTTAAAGAAAAACTAATAGCAATAGGGTAGCTTTAAAGCAGAACTACTATAAGTACTCTCAAGCAACATGGACTATTCTGAATCCTTATGTTGCTAGCAATAGTAAATAGGAGGGTATATACAATTTTTCTTGTTTTAACCTATTATTTTTAAATTTCTTCAGCTACTTCCTGGTTTCTGGCCTAGGTCAAAATGATGTCATACATCCCAGGATTCTTCATGGGCATTTTAATTTCATCTGGAGGAGGGGCTTCTCAGCTAAGCATGCCCTCCTGCCTGCATGTCTGAGCTAAGTGCAGATGCATTCTAGGATGCAAATGCTACATGAATCATCTGCCCTTAATCAAGATAGCCACAGCTTAGAAGTGCTAGGGGCTGTTTTTAAAAGTGATTTCTCAACAAAATAAAGCATGGCGTCATAGATGGATGGGTGGGTTTGCTTCGAAAATTAAAAATGAACTAAACAGCTCTTTCAGTTTGTGATGTCCAGATACAGTTTAGTTCCGATTTAATTATTTGTACGCTGACATATCATTTTGAAGGCATTCTACTTTCTTAAAAAAACAACAAAAAAACAAACAAGGAATTATTTCTACATCCCTTTGCAGTCTGACCCCTATACAAGATGTGTTCTGGAGAACAGAAGCTGGACAATGGAGTTCCTGCTTCTTGGATTCACTAATGAAAGAGACATAAATGTCATACTCTTCACTTTCTTTCTCTTGGTTTACATATTGACCCTGTTGGGAAACATCACCATAATCTCGCTGACTAGGACCAATGTTTCTCTAAGAACCCCTATGTATTTTTTCCTGAATAATTTTGCTTTCCTTGAGATAGGCTATACCACAGTTACTGTACCCAGAATGCTATCTGATCTCATCTCTGGGAATATGACTATCTCCTTTAATAGCTGCATCAGTCAGATGTATTTCTTTTTTTTCTTTGGCACCACAGAATTCTTTATTCTGGCTCTAATGGGATTTGACCGTTATCTTGCCATCTGCCGCCCTCTTCATTACAACAACATCATGAATTTTCAGTTCTGCTTTCAGTTGGTAATCGGATCTTGGATCAGTGGATGCATGGTTCCAGTGGTACCCACCATAGTCCTTTCTCAGAAGCCATTTTGTGGCTCAAAAACCATCCACCATTTTTTCTGCGATGTTGGTCCACTGGTAAAGCTTTCATCAGCTGACACAGTCTTCTTAGATACTTTTGTCCCTTATTGTTTCTGCTGTTGTGGTTCTTGGCTCCCTACTTCTTGTTATAGTGTCATATGTTCTTATCATATCCACCATTTTTCAAATAGCTTCCTCATCTGGCCGTACCAAAGCCTTCTCTACATGTACGTCCCATCTTTTTGTTGTGACAATTTTCTTTGGCACTGTGATCTTTATGTATGTCCGTCCATCCTCTGAAGAGAATCATGAAATGGATAAAGCTGTATCAGTCTTTTATTCTGTTGTCACTCCAGCTCTTAATCCTCTTATTTATAGCCTAAGAAACAAAGAGGTAAAAAATGCCTTGATGAAGGCGCTTCATAGAAAAAGGCCTTTCTGGGAAAATTCAGAGGTCATACATTCAATCAAATTGAAGGCGTATTCTTGAATCGAATGTTTCTGTTTAGGTGTGCACATTTATGGGATTTACATATTTAATAATGTTTACTTTTTTAATAGAACATATATAATAAACTAGGGCATATATGATAAACTAGGGCTGGCCATACATTATACAATTATTGTAGAATTTCTTGTCAAGCCTAAACAATTTAAATTTGTATGCAATTAGACAGGCTCTTCCACTACATAGTTGAAGGTACCTGTAAATCTAAAGGAATTTGAGCAAGAAAATTTTATGATGTATGACCAGCTTAAAGATTAAAGTCAAAGTGCAGCTAAAGTAAAAAAAACAGAAAGATCAGCACAAGGGACATTACTTACAGCCTGTAGGATGAGTCTCTTGTGTGGCTTTCTCTGCTGTTAATACTAAATCTCCTCCATCATGCCCTCCCACTCCATTTTTTGCCTAGCTCCACCATTCATAGAAGCCATACTACATCTTCTATGAATGGAAAGCAATCTAAAAATAGAGGCTGAATGGATGAATGATAGCTCCACCTCCTCCATTTGTAGATCACGTTCCATTCATAGAAGATGTAGTATGGCTTCTATGAAAGGCGGAGCTTGGCCTATGACAGCCTTTTAGTATTAATCCCCGCCACACTGGAAGATTACGGCTTGGGGATGGGATGTTAGAACAGAGGAAAATTACTACTAACAGCAGAGGAAACAACACAAGGGACACATCCTACTGACTGTAAATTATGTCCCCTGCGCTGACTTTTCTGTTTTTGATTTTGGCTGCACTTAGGCTTTAAAGAAAATATTTCAGTGAATACAGAGGACTAGAGGAGTAGACAGTTAATCTTTTAGGTCAATCTTGACTTTCTGGTAAAGCAGGCTTGGACCTGCCCCTTCCACCTCCTGAGCCTCTTTATTGAACACTGAAGCTACACATCACACTAAATGACTCATAAGTTGGCCCAGTAGGTGGAAGCCCACCTTAAGGCTGGATTTACATTGCTCCGTGTGCATGCAGCGCACATGATCATGCACATGAGTAGGTGTGAATGGGTCTATAAAGTTTTCCTTTGCGTTTCACACTAACTGCAGCACATACTGTAGATCTGAACCAGCCACATTGGAAAGAATGTAATTCTACTTGTAATGCATTTTCATGAAGACATCAACATAGACAAGTATGAAAAAAAATAAAAAAACTCACACGGGATCAAATACCAGTGAAAGAAAGCTCTATTTGTGGGAAAAAAGGACATCAATTTCATTTGGGTGCAGCATTGCATGACCGTACAATTGTCAGTTAAAATAACGCAGAACCGTATACAGGGGCGGACTGACAACTCATGGGGCCCCCGGGTAATAGGGGATCATGGGGCCCCTGTGTCCTTGCCCAAACTCAAAAAAGCCTATGAAAAAGGTACCAGGGGCATCTCATGGGGCCCCCTACTGACCCTGGGTCCCGGGCAGTGCCCGAGCTTCCAAATGGTCAGTCTGCCCCTGACCGTATCACATGGCCGGGTCAGGAAGGGGGGTAACTCCTCTGGAGGGCAGGTGGTTAAAGCAGAACTACAGTATAGGCAAACTTTTTTTTTTTTTTTCAGTTTGGTTTGGTTTATAATCCCTGTCAGAATTGTTTTCACCATCTGTGTCTGATTGCAGAGATTTCCCTTCACTTTCCATAGCCAAACAGGAAGTGAGAGGAAATTCCTGCAAATTAAGGGATTTCCTTGGGGACTCCCAGGTTATCAGAACTAGTGTCCCCATTGGAAGATGTCCCCTTTTTTGTTCTTAGTTATACTTTAAGATGAAATTAAAAACTGGCACACACCTCTGGTGCAATGTAACTGGTACATTGTACAGTAAAAGAGCACATCTTGGTAAATACTGACATGCAGAATAATCTGTTTGTCTTTTGCTGGTGTGTGCTTACAAACAGGATGTTTGGTGCTACAGTATTAAATCTATCATAATACTGTGGCAGCAGCCTGTAATGTACCTGGTGGCATGGCCGGATCCAGGGGGGTGCTGGGGTGGGCTGTGCCCCCCCAGATTTCTGTTGTGCCCCCCTGGCCGGCTGAGTTTCTGCACCATCCCAACACAGGAATGTGCAGACTGGTGCAGTGAAGTGTGATTAGTACAGTTCAGACAGTGACAGCAGTAGACAGGAGAGAGGCTGTGCTGTGTCCTCCCTTCCTGTCAGTGCAGCGCTCCTCCACACCCGCCCTATGCACATTTCCTCCTGCTGGGACATTAGTAGTCCTTGGAGGAGGTAGAGTGCTGGTAATCACACTGTATGCAGTCCAGACTAACAATTCTGTGTGTGTGGAGGAGCGCTGCACTGACAGGAGGGGGAGGACACAGCACAGCCTCTCTCTTGTCTCCTGTGGGGGGGACTTACAGACGGGAAACATAATGTGAGGGGTTGGAGGGTGTAACTTGTGCTTGGAATGAGAGGTAGAGGGATTGGCGACTATTTGTGCTGGGGAGGGTAATTGGGGGGGAAATTTGCTAAAAGAGGGGCTTGGGGTGGAAGGATATGTGCTATTAGGAGGAATAAGGGGGATATGTGCTAGGAGGGGGGATTGGGGGGGGATATGCTAGGACTAGGAGGGGGGATTGCGGGAGATGTGTTTGGAAGGGGAATTGGGGGGATATGTGTTTGTAGGGGAGGATATGCTAGGTCTAGGAGGGGGGATTGGGGGAGATATATGTTTGGAGGGGGAAATATGTTTGGAGGGGGGTTGGGGAATATGCTAGGACTAGGAGGGAGGATTGGGGGGATATGTGTTTGGAGAGGGGATTGGGGGGGGGTATGTGCTAGGTGGGGTGATTGGGAAGGAATTTGTGCAAGGAGGGAGTTTGGTTGGATATGTACTGGGAAGGGGGATTGGGGTGGAGGGATTTGGACTAAGAGGGGGATTTTTTCACGGGGGGGAGGATTTGTGCTAGGAGGGGGTGGGGGAATTTGGTTTAGGAGGAGAGGGCTGGGGAGGATTTGTGCTAGGAAGGAGAATTTTGGGGGATCTTGGGTGGGGAGGGAGAATTTGTGCTGGGAAGACTAATTTAAAGGGGGTTGTGCTAGGAGGGGGAATGGGAGGGGATTATGCTAGGAGGGAGGATTTGGGGGATAGGATTTTTGCTGGGAGGGGTGATTTGGAAGGGAGGATCTCTGCTAAGATGAGAAATTTGAGGATAACATATTGTGTGCTAGGAGGGATGATTGTTTTTGGGTGAGACATGAAAGAGGGCACTCAACAGATCTTCTCCTCCCCTCATAGCACATAGCTGAGATTTGCTTGAATTTCCTGACAGACACAGCTTCAATCTGTAGCCAGCTACATACTGTGCAGATGGAGGCTGTGTAAGGGAATCCAATCTCAGCTATGTGCTGTGGTGTGGAGGAGCTCTGAGTACCCAGGCTGTTTGCAGTGTTGGGAAGAGAGGAGGAGATCTGCTGAGTGCTTTGCCAGGAGTGACCCTGCCCTCTTCTCTGCTGACCATTGTCTTCTGCCCTGCTGACCCTGCCCTCTGCACTGCTGAACCCTGTCCTCCATCCTGTTGTCCTGATAACCCCTTTTCTCCACCCTGCTGATCCCTGTGCAGAGGAGGGCCTCCCTTGCAGCTCTGGCTTAGGGGATCTGGTAGAGTAACAGGGAGCACCAGAGCACATAGGTGCATGAGAGCCTGGTAGGACTTCTGCAGATGGATGATGACGTGCATCAGGAATGCAGGAGCAGCTGGTGGATGGCACACTGGCAGAGGTGCAGGAACGGCTTGGCAGATGACACTCAGGCAGAAGTGCAGGAGCATGAAATTGGCAAGGATAAGCTGATTCAGGTGAAGGATCAGAATAAAGCAAGATCAGGGGGTCCGAGTAAACAGCTAGCAGGCAGAGTAAGCAGAGAACGGCAGGCAGAAAAATAGTCAAAGGGCAGGCAAGGGGTCGGTGCAGGCAGCGTTTCTAGCAGGGTCAATAACAGATCAGATCAGTAACAGAATCACAGGTAACAGGATGCATGGGTGCTTAGAAGTATAAGACCAAATTGGCACTAATGCAAGGCACTAGCCCAGCTTAAATAGCCTGCCTGGCGTCAATGTGCCATCGCGCATGCACATTTGCCAATCGGCCACAAGCAGGGCTAACAGGGGTTCTGCGCCCACGCATACATATGCGCATTCCTGGCACAGACAAAGGCTAAATGGCAATTCCTAAAAGCTAAGCAATTATTATAAACACAAACTCGTAGGCTGCATTCACACCTAAGCATTCCAGTAACGCAGGTATAAATGCATGTTTCTGCCCACGTTTCCAAAGACGTGCGGAAAATGTGGCAAAAATGAGTCATGTTTGCAGTGCCATTATTTTTTAAATGGACACCACAAATGCAGGTGGCAGTCATATGAAAAATGCATCAAAACATGCAACACAAAAATGAGCGTGGCTCAGTACCAAAAAAGGTACATGAGATACCTTAGCACGTTTGTTGAGTGTAAGGTAGCCCATTCAAGTGAATGAGCTGTCCTATGCTATTGTGCATCAATTGCATTGCGTTGCATATGTGTGAATGCAGCTTTAGTGCTTATAATAAAAACTTTTTACTGCCAAAGAAATGTAAACTTTAAAAAAAAAGTCAGTACAAAAAAAATATAGAAGGGAACTTTAAAAGTCTATAGATCATTGTGGAACCATAGAAGAGTGACAGCAGAATAAAAGACCAAGTGGTCTGTTGAGTCTGCCCCATTCTTTTGGGTAAATTTTTTTATTACATATATATATATATATATATATATATATATATAAATATATATATATAGTATAGAGCTATGTTTGTCCC